CATTTCTTTCTGTAGGCATTATGCTGTCTACAGTGGCTGATAAAATCCCGTACACCCCGTAGTGGAGAGGTAGAGCCCTACTGGCTTCTTCACACCCCGCCCCCCAGACTCCATTTTCTTACAAGATAGAATTCAATAGCTAAAAGGTTTGGTAAATTGGGTTTCCAGTGGTCCAAACTTTATTATGACTATTGGGGGAATTTATTTGTTTTTGAGTAAGAGCTTTTTTTAAGCCAATTTCGAAAATTTCTTTCAAGAGTTACTGCAATAAATCTACACTATTGATTTACCAAGTGGTGGTTCTTGGGCGCTCTCTGGAGTCACTTAAGTGTTTAAATTCTTCTCTTTATTACTCCAACAGTATCACAAGCCCCAGATGGGCGGGCATGGAGGGCTCTTAGTCCCTTCAAGACAAAGCTTAGCAAATATTTCTGTCAGCTCAGAGACAGCAGGAGGGCACTGACCACAGACAGAACTGCAGGCAAATTTCTTCCTTTCTTGGTCTCCATATTCCAGAGACATGTGGTGTAACATGGTGCCATGTCTGACAGGGACAGCTACTGAGTAAATGCAAGTCTGAATGGATCCCAGTTTGCAAGGAATGGTGGACAGGAGCTTCTCTACTGTGGCTTGTTCTCAGGGAGCTCCTGGACCAGCCCTAGGGGGCATGATGTAAAGGTGACTTCAGGCAATCAGACATCAAGTCACTGAGAACAAGCGCAGTTTCAAGTCCTGCTGAAAACAAGAACAGCTAACATTTACTGATATTTGCTATTTTGAAACTGTACTAAGTGCATGACACTTATTCACTCATTTGCTTATCCCCATATCAACTCTATGAAATGGGAAGGAGCAGCATCCCAAGTTTGCAAATAGGGAAAAGGAGGCTGAGTTGTGCATCTTGTGCATCTGTACCTAGCGAGTGAAGCCAGGATTTGAACTCAGGAAGTCTGTCTGGAAGCCCACAGCATGATCATACCACGTGCTGTGTTTCCTTGGCAGAGTCCCACATTAGAGCCTTGGTTCTAACCCCCTAGTTCCCTCCTTCCTCCCTCTGTCTCTCACTTCATTCCTTCCCACCTTTTCCCTCCTCCTATTTCTTCCTTCATCTTTTAAATCAATACTTCCTGGAGGCCCAGCATTACAACATGTCAGGTTGGAGCTGCTTTTCCTGCTGCAGAAGTAAAGGGCACAAGGGGATGACATTAAGGGCCACCTCCAGTCCCACGGCCACCCCCGTCACCGCCTCGGTATGCTAAGGGTCCTGGCATCGCAGTTTGAAAATCATCCCATTGCATCATCTTCGGGGCCAGCATCTGCACCTCCACGTGTGGCTCTTGTATGAAATGTTGCCTCCAGAATACAAGAGCACCCCTTTCTGCAGCCAGAGAGAGCAAACTGACAGCCAACGGCTTGAGCCACATCATGGCTACAAGGTTAAGCTTCTTAAATTTTAAAATCCAGAGATTTTATAGAGAAACTCCAGAAAAAAACAATCTGTCATGATCCACACGGTAGCCGTTGGTTGGAGTGACGTGGCGACGTGCCCGTTCCGAACAGAGCCGGCGACCACAGCCACCCTGTGGCCTTCTCCCCTTAGCGCCCCTGAAGTCTCCCCTTTCAAAATATGGCTCAATTCATTTTAATTTGGATATATCCCATTATGCGGTGTTTGGAGATGAGACAGCTGAAAGCCGTGTGGGGTGAGGGAGAGTAGGAAGAGGCAGGACTGCACAGAAGTGAACCAACGAGGGAGCTGATTCTCTTTCTTCCCAAAGGAATTCCTTGTCTTGAGTCAGAATGTTTCACCCAGAGCCTCCCCGGGGTTCATCTTGCTGTTGGGCTGGTCTTGCCTGGCCTCCCTCTCGCACACGTTCCTGAGGTCACTGCGGACACAGAACAGCTTCTTCTCCTCCTGGTCTGAGGTCTGAAGCCTCCTGCAAGTAGGGGTCAGATGTCTGCCCCCGGTGCCACCCTGGTGTCCCTATGACCCAGGACTCTGCCCAGCTCCATCGAAAGCTGGAGTTTCCCCCCCAAAAAATTGTGACTTTTGAAATGTTTTCTATCTTGAAACCATGAGTCAGTTTAGTTGACTCACACATGGTAGGAAGGGAAGGAGGGGGCTGTCACAGCTTTCCAATGGACGCCTGCTGGTCATTGCCTTCCATCCATGGTTGAGGACCAAGTAGTGCAAACATCGACACTGGGTGCAGGAACACAAGAAAGTCTCTGCTCTGGTACTTGTGCAAAATAAGAACCATAATTACCTCCGAAAGGGTTTTTATTGGGATTTGAAATAACAGATGCATGGGACCTGGTCCAGTGCCTGGTGCACAGGGAACATTTCATACACAAAGGCTTGTTGTCCTTATTCTTACATTACCTTGAGCAGAATACCCTAGGAAGGTGACCCATTGTTCACAAAAATCATATAACATAATAGCTTTCGAAGTCAGAACAGCAAACACCACTTCTCTTTCCTCCCGTTCAACACTGCACCCTCTGTTCCCATAAGTGCAATGGAGGAGGACATGGCCAGGGTAAGTCATGCCGGCCCCTTCTGCATGCCCGTCTCCTCCCTGGACAATGGGAATCCCATCATTTTGATTGTCCAGATGACAAAACTTAGTCTCAGAAGCTGGTGTCAGCTGGTATGATGCTCAAAAAAGAGTTTTATAACAAAACGAAGATGGGTGTAGGCTGAGACGTGTTGCCAACTCAAGTGTATCCCAGTGGGGCCATGATGGGTCTTGGGATAGGTGGACTTGCGCCTCATCCATCACTAAGGAAGTCTGCAGAGTCCATTGAACAGCCTTGATGTCTCAACCTGTGCCCAGCTCTGCTGTGGTTAAGGAGACACCAAGGCGAGTGTTCTTGCTAAGAGAGCAAGATTAACAGCCCCCCCCCCCAAATAAAGGCATGCCTGTCACCCAGGGAAGAGAGAGACTGGGCCAGAGCCGGTAGGAAGGATTTCTGGAGGCTCAGATCCCTGCAGGCCTCAGCTGCCAGACCAAGTATGAGGCTCTTAGTTTGGAAACGCTCCAGACTCCAGACACTTCTCCCTCATTTTCCAAGGCAAGTCATTCATTCTTGAGATTGCACAGCTCATGGATTGATGCTCCAAATGCTGGATTGATGTTCCCTCCCAGAGGGATATCCAGCATCTCATAAATTGTGATTTTCTGGGCCCCGCTGCTGGCCCAGAGACCATGAGGCAGCTTTCACAAGTCCCAGGGCTTTGGGAAGTGTGGCGACCTCCCTGTCTCCCCCTGCCCCAGCCACGGAGCAGGGCTGAGGGTGATGAGGTGGAGAAGTAGCATTCTGGCTGCTGAACAAGTGCCCCCAAAGACTGGGTGGGTGTGTCCTTATGGCCCCAGCAAAGGGAAGGGCTTCTCCAGCACCCTTCAGAGGGGGACCCACACACGGTGGGGATGCCGTTTTGAAGCATACTTGTTTCCTTCTTGACATGCTATAGAAAATTCCCCTCGGTTCACCTGGAGCCATGTGGCCTTCCCAGCGGATGCAGCTAGACATGCTGTGACCTGCCACCACCCCCTTGCAGTGCCCAGCTCCTCAGAATCCTGCCCACCCTACAGACCCCCTCGCGTGCCCGGAAAGCCCTTCCTTCTCATTTCCACCAGTAACAACTTTATCGGTTCAACAGCTCCAGGAACCTCTCCAAGTTCCCCTTTGCTGACCTCCTAAAACGAGGGCTGGCAAACTTTTCCATGAAGGTATAGATAACAAAGACTTGGGGCGCCGCCGGCCATCCACTACCTAATGCCCTTTCCCAACCACGCTCTTGCGGCACGAAAGCCCCAGAGACAAATGTAAATGCACACACGGGGCCGTGTTCCAATGAAATGATTTATGAGAATGGGCAGCAGGCTGCATTCGGCCCCCGGGCCTCTGTTTGCCACCCCCTGCATGGGAGCCACTCCCTCGATGTCCTGTGATTCCTCACTTGACCTCCAGCTGCCATGGAGGAGGACACGGGATGGGGGGTCCGGAGATGCCACCTTCCATCTGGCTCTGTGTGGTGGTGAGCAAGCCTTTCCCCTTTCTGGGCCTTAAATTCATTGTCTGAAAAATGAGAAGCTTAGACCTTCGCTAGTTCCAAAAGCATCATGATCGCTGGGGCAAGCTTGCTCAAAATACAGCTATGTGGGGTCCCCTCAGATTTAGGGTATTGATTGGAAGGCTTCGTTGGGCACCGGAGAGTCACATTAGCCAACGAGCTCCTCCCTCGAAGCAGAAGGGGGTGTGTTAGAGGATGCGAGGCAGTTCACACCGTCTGCAGGAGAGCCACTGACACGAGCCGGGGACAAGGCATCTGGGGAGGAAAGAGGCAGGACACCTGCCGGCTCTGCGGGGCTCCCACAAAGAACACTCGTCCCGTCCCCCTGGCACCAGGACCCGAGGGCCCGTGAGCACGAACCGCCCCCACTGCTGCCCCAGAAAAGCCAGGAGCCCACACCTGCCCAGACCCCCCTGCAGCGGCCGCGTCCTCACTGGCTTCCCGGTCTGCGTCCCCGAGGACGGGTCTGACCCACTTCGGGGCTGCATCCAGCTGCAGGGGAGCGCCCAGGGCCCTTCTGTGCTTCTCTGCCTCTCTAGAACCAGAGGAAATGCTAGGCCTGCAGTGCGGGGCACACCCGTGGAACTGAGCTGAAAAAGAGTCCGTTTAGGTCCCGGGTCCTCCAGGCTCATCCTGCAGGGGTGGGGCCGACGGGTTCCCGTGGTCGGAGGAGTCGTAAGACACCGGCCAACACCCCATGCTCAGACTCGCTCAGCTCCTCCCACTGTGGGTGCTGCTCCGTTCCAGCCATCCGCAGCCCTAATGTGGGGGTGGCGCCCCGTCCAGGGGCTGCCCCGGAAAGGTGGTGGCTTTTTCCTTAGACTCTAGGTACAGCTATGACAGGGGCAGGGGCAGAGGGAGAGAAGGACCCTTCCACGGGACAAAGTCGGCTCAAAGCCATTCTTCTTTGCTCCTTTTGCAGAAGCAGCAGCTTGTTCAGCGAGGTCATGCAGATGAACTTCGAAATAGCCAGCTTCAGCAGCCTCTCGGGGACGCAGCCCATCGCCTGGCAGGTGGAATATCCACGGAGAGCGACCACAGACAGCGCTGTGTCCGAGATCTTCATCAGCCAGAAGGACCTGGCTGGCATCGTTCCCCTGGCCACGGTAAGACCCGTGTGGGCCCGATGGCGCCCCTGTGGGCTTCCTGCTGGCCCAGGACGCCAGTGCCGGTGCCTCGGGGAGTCACTGTGTCATTTCTGAACCTCGGTTACCTTCCTGCTTCCCTCACAACCCTCGCTGTAACTGCGTCCCAGTTTGTTACGCACTTCCTTCGCCTCTAGTTGCCCCAGTCCTGTCTGGCCTTCTGTTCTCTGTTAGAAGGAGATGGGAGGCCACTTTGCATATTCGTCAGAGAAGCCAGCAGGGCGGTCACAGCAAACGACCACAGAGGTTCAGGCGCTGCACATGACCCCAGTGATTCTAGCTAACGTTGCACGGCCGAAGTGGTAGGGGGCTCTGCTCCATGCGGGGTCTCGGGGGCCTCGATGGATGGGCCCTTCACCGTCCTACAGCTATAACATCAGGAATACGTGGCCTTCGTGGTCTCCTTGACAGAGGAAGGGGCGGTTGGAGAGTCACATGCTTTTCTAAGCAATGGCCTGGAAATGACATGTGACTCTCTCCCCCCCCACACACACACGCTGTTAGTCCTAAGGAGTCCCGTGGCCCCGTCAGAACTCCAGAGGGTGCAGGGGAAGGGCTGGGTGAGCACCACGGTCTGCGCCTCACTGCGTGGCATGTCAACATGGCCTTGACCCACATGGACCACGGCATGGACACAGTATGCACAGACCCAGCCGTGACTTCTGGCTCGACCCTCTGGCTGCTAGGAATGAGCAAGGGAGAGAGAATGGTGACAAGCCACACGGCAGTTTTGCTCTGTGGTCGCTCACCTGCACCTGCCGTGCTCAGCACCGCCCCACGGAGACGCCCTGCCAGGAGGCCCAAAAGGATGGCATTTCAGAGGTGCGTGGAGAGTCCTTTGACGTTCAGCTACAAGTGTCTTTGCCAGAATTCGCCCTCCCTCACATGGAGCCTGGCACGGAAATTGTGAAACTAATTTCTGTTCAGCTTTGGCATAAGCAGGCTTCACTGATACCAAGCTGGGAAATGTATCAATTAGGATTCTTTGGGTTCCATGTGACGAAACACCACCCAGTTGGCGTAAGCACAGCGAGAATCTTCTGGCTTATGCGACTCCGAGTCCAGGATCCGTCCTGGCCTCCCATCTGCCTGATCAGGACTCAGCTCCGTCTCCAGGACTGTTTTATTCTGCCTCTTGGCTTCCCTCTGCATCCACTCATGATGGCAGCATGGCAGCTGATACTCCTGCCAAACGGTTCAAGCCTCGAGCCCAGGAAGGGCACCTGGCTCATTTCCAGAAACCCCGACAAAGGTTTCGCTGCCACGACGACTCCTCTGGGGTCATGCTGTCTCCCCGAAGCAGCCCCCGTGACAGGCTTACACCCCCAGAGTCTGCGCGGGTTGAAACAGACGCTGTGGGTCGCCCGCCCTGCCCTCGCCTCGCCTTCCACCTCAAGCACCAGCTCATTTTCGCCTGAGAGTTCTGCCTGGCACCCAAAGCCGTCCTTCCCACCTGTGCAGCAGGGCACAGACCCCGAGGGATCAGCATACCCGCACCCAGGAAGCTCTCCGCACTGCGGCTCCCGGGAGCGGGCAGACACTGAGTCCAGCTCCCTGGGCCCGCCTGGGGGTTGACGGTGAGGCAGGAGCTCCACAGTGCTGCCTCCCCTCGGCCCAGTGCAACTAGGCTGCAATCACAGCCCGAGGCCCCTTGCTGGGTAATGCCCGCCATGGTCCCGTGTGCCTTGTCCCACTTCCCCACTCCCCAACAGATGTTGCCCGCACCTCACAATAAACCACTTGCAGTGGAATCCTTCCAGGAAAGCCCAAACCAAGATATGGGTCAGCTGCACAAACCACGTGAGTTTGAGAGCAGAGAGCTTTCAGGATTGTTTCGCTAGAAAACTTGAGAATGGATACCGGGAAGCAAACGGACACAAGGCCCCTCCTGATATCTGGCATGCAAGGAGTTGAAATGCCTTTTATCCAAATAACGAAGTCACTCTGTGGACAGGAAGCAGCGAAGTACGACCCCAGGACCACACCCAGCCTCTGATTATTTCTCTAAGCCAAATTTAGGGGCACGCAGCCACACCCATCCAGCTCTGCATGCTCTATGGCCACTTTGGCTGGCCACAGGAAGAACGAGCAGCTGTGGCAGGTGAGGAGTGGTCCACCACGGCTGAAGTATGCACTGACGGCCCTTTCTGGAAAACGCATACCGATCCCCACCACAGCAGAACTCAAAGAGTGGTGTCTCAACTCTGGCTGCACCTGTGAGTCACCTAGGAGGCCTTAGAAATGATTGTTGGGGGCGCCTGGGTGGCTCAGTTGGTTAAGCGTCTGCCTTCGGCTCAGGTCATGATCCCAGGGTCCTGGGATCGAGTCCCGCATTGGGATCCCTGCTCTGTGGGGAGCCTGCTTCTCCCTCTCCCACTCCCCCTGCTTGTGTTCCCTCTCTCGCTGTGTCTCTCTCTGTCAAATAAATAAATAAAATCTTTAAAA